TAATGGTGGAGAAGGTAAAAGCTTGACAGCGAGAAACCGAAAGGAAAGGGGACAAGTTTTAAGGGATGAATCGGTTCGGTAGAGGATTGGTTTCTCTAATGGGAAGGTGATGTGATTTCAAGAGTTAAACAAGAGAGGCTACTAAAACGTTATATTAGGCTTAACCAAAATTACTGTAACAAAATGTGATGGTTATTTCATTTTGTTTCTATGTAAGTTCAGATGGCACAAACTTTAGGCGAAATCGGAAAAAAAAAATTATAGACTAATTGAGACTAACTCTGCACAAAACTTGTGTTGACGGCGGACATTGAATTCTCATACTTGGAGTTTAGAAGCAACCATTCAAACCTCCGGTTCTGGAGCTAGAGCTATCGAGAACGAGACATTGAATTCTCTGACGACTATTATCTGGACACGACTCGTTGTTTTGACCTATAAATTTACATATTGTATGTTGGATCAAAACGGGATGTACCCAATTTATATGTGGATATTATGTCTATCTCCGATGTTTTCGTCTATGTTATCCCTAGTTAACCATTTATGTTTTTGTTGGTGCGAAGGCAATAACTAGTTACCAGTTCCAACTTCCAATGCCGAACAACCTTCGTGATTAGAGATCATTCCAACCTTTCGTGGTGAGAAACTTTTATATCTTTCAAAATAAAATAAAATAAACTTTAAATGATTTTTGTGTTATATGGAAACTGTAACGAGAAGGACTATAGTGGCAGCCTAGAATGCTCTTGAGAAAATCTTCACTCAAGAGGAAATGCTTATAATCCACATGGTGCACATGGAGATGACAAAGGCTCATTGGTAATGTTTAAAGTCCTAATTTATCACCAGAGTTGGGGTGTGGTGAGATAGTTAGTTGTACTCAGGTCATAATTGTCACGATGACGAGGACATAGTGATAGACGCAAATGATTTAACTAACCAAAGTATATGGAAGGTAAACAGATAGGCAACAAATAAATGTGTAGTATTTGGTTGTACTTAGACGACCAAATAAAATTTTAGTGTCTTTATACATGACTTTGCACTGTAATTGTTTAACAAGATTTGTTTCTATATAATTTAATTACATAGTCACCTTTGTCAATATACTTGTTCGGCTAACAACGGATGTGGCTAATATTTCGATGTTAATGTCCAGCGAACACCAGTTAAGAACCCAAACCAGGCTGCCTATTGTGACGTAGCTTTTCAATGAGTCAACACATGTGTTTGGAGATGTCGGCCTAAATCTCGATGCAACTACTATACGTTCAGGGTTTAATGCACACTGTGGTGGCATTGATGATGTGCTGACTTTTCGGGAGGGCCTTCTCGCATATTGATATGACCCRGATAAAGAATTTAGGGTTACAACACGAGTTTCCGAGCCAACCCAACGGTGGTGATGCATTTATCCTGCCAGGAAAATACCACTACTGCAAATGGCAACTCTTCATACATCGATTTTGTTGAGGATGTATACGCTATGATTGATACTGAAACCGACCATGCTTGTGCTG